AGATTTAGTTTCAGATAAGCATTGTTCAAGTGAGAGGCATGGCTTTAAAGCCAGGGAAGTGCCAACTTCCATCGCTCTGCCCCAGGGGATGTGCCCTGTGAGCTCAGGAAGAGTTGTCCCACCCCAGACCCTCCTGGGGTGGCAGCCCAGGGTGTTGGGGTTGCGTTTGAGCCTCTGGGGTTTCTCACTTGCTGTGTCCCTATCAGACTCTGACCTTCAACTGTCCCATAAAACCCACCCCCTGCTCCTGTTTGGGGCTCTCTCGATCTGAGTTTGTTCCTGTGTTGAATAAATGGTTTTCTGAGCAGAAGCCCATCTTGTTGGAGTCCCATGCTGGACACCAGTAACTGCAGGCTCCCTGGACATGATCCTGCAGCCCCAGAATGATGCACCCCAGAGCATACAATGCACAGCTGAGCTATCACGTTTTTTCTGCAAACTTTGTGTAACTCTGAAAGCAAAATCCACAAGCACCCTCACACCTCAAAATCACTTTAAAACTATAATAAAATGGTATTTAAGTTGCATGAGGAATTCTACACTATTTATCCATACTTTTGGGGTACAATTTCTCATTCTGCTCAGAGAATTACAAAGCATGTATTTTTTCCTCTACATTGGCTTTGCGTGAGTTTCTCATACTTAAAATTTTCCATGATATTGCTTAATTAATAACAGATTTCAGCCACCTCTCTACCCTCTTCCTTTCAGTGGGCGTGAAAGGGTTTACTTGTAATATATATTGCTACTGACTGAATTTTATCTTGTTCTCCTGGATTCTCAGCAGCAATTCCCAAGTTAGTGGCTTCCCCAGAAAGCACGTCAAAGGATTCCCACCCACACACTGAATATCTAACAGACCCTGACCCATTTTCTCCCTATTAAAGCAGCACTACATATTTTTAAAAATAAAAATAATAAACAGCAAAACTAAATGAATGTGAGAGCTGCAGCTGGAACTCTATCTTCTTCAGATTTCTGATAAAATTGCTATCAAAAAATAGAGACACATTTAAAATACAAACATCAAATGTATTTTTCCTCAGTTTTCTCCTCCAGTGACTTATTACTGCAGCTATCTTTCAGTTAAATACATGGAGGATTTCATTTATAAGTTCTGAATATAGAAAAATTCCTTCATTTAGCCATATTTATCTCCTCTTGCCACAATATCTTTGGGCACATTTCACAGAATCACAGAATTGTTAGGGTTAGATGGACCTCTGGAGATTTAATTTATAAGTTCTGAATATACAACTCATATAGCTTAATTTAGCCATATTTATCTACTCTTCCCACAACACCTTTGGGCATATTTCACAGAATTGTTAGGGTTGGAGGGACCTCTGGAGATCCTCCAGTTCAACTGCCCTGCCAAGCCAGGGTCACCTGAAGCAGGTGTTACAGGAACTCATCCATGCATATTTTGAATGCCTCCAGAGGGAGATTCCAAGACTTCCCTGGGCAATCTATTGCAGTGCTCTGCCACCCTTAACACAAAGAAGTTCTTCCTCATGTTGAGGTGGAACTTTCTGTGGTTTAGTTTATGGCCATTGCTCCTTGTCTGGTCACCGGCCACCACTGAAAAATCTGGCACCACCCTCCACACACCTGCATATTTAAATGCATTGATGAAATCACCTCTCAGTCTTCCCTAGACCTCACAAGCCCAGCTCCCAGTGTCTTTCCTGGCCACCTGGGCTGTTACCACAGATATCATCAGCAAAGCACCTACTAACTCCACAAATGGCCGATTGTTTTGACTCATTCACCACTAACATTTTAGTCCCTCACACAACCCGTGTGAAACTTCGTATGATTGGTGATTGACCAGCTCTAATTTGTCCAGGTTTCTCTGCAGAGACTCTCTGCCTTCCAGGAAATCAGCAGCTCTTTACAGTTTTGCATCATCTGCAAAATTATTTAGTATCCTGTCGAGTCCTGCACCCAAGCCCTTCACCAAGATGTTGAAGACCACAGGGCTGAAGCCTCTCTCTTGACCATTCACCAGTCTGATGTCACCCTATTCAGCTTACCTCCTTGTCCCCAGCCTGTGAGCCTGTTGCTCACCCACTGCACAGTGATGTGTTTACCTAGCTGTGGAATGGGCATTTTGTCCAGAAGAATATGGTAAAAGAAAGAATCAAAAACTTTTCTGAAATCCAAAAAGATTACACTAAAAAACAAAGCCATATCGTGAATATCAGAACTGTATGATTTTACTAGGATTATTGTCACCTAACCAGAATAAGCAATAACAATTAACACATGTGGTATTCTGGTTTAAGTAGGAAAAAAATGGCAACAGAAAATTCAGTTGGAGTATGACTTTCAGTTTGCCCATTGCATTCACAGTCTCAGACAGTGGAAATCAGGTTTTAATGGCTATGGATGCACAACAGCCTCTTCCCCAACTCTGTGCTACCACCTCCAAAGCAAATGAACCACTTCAGCAAGTCAAATAACCTCTCTCTAAACAGCAATGCTAAACAGAAGATGTGGGGAAAACCTCAGAACAGAAAAAAGTAGAGGATGTTTATCCTTCTGTATTGCAGTTGTTCAGCGAGGTACATCTAAGGCTGTGCTTCTTACAGAAGGGACAGCCCTACATTTCTCTTAGACTGCAACTGCATGCTGCCACTGCCATTTTTAAGATAGTACAACTATTTCTGTGACTCCATGGTCAGCCAGGCAACTGTTTAATCTGAGAATAGACCTGACCAGATACAGATGTCAAGTGGATGAATTCCCTGAGCTTTTGATGCCCACATAGATTTGAACTGAACTGATACAAGGTTTATTTCTAATACAGTGCAGAAAATAAGACAAGAAAATCCCATAATTTTAGACCAACTATCTTTTAATGAATACTGAAAAAAAAATCCATTTATGAAAGCTCCATATCTCAGAAGTAAATCCCTTATACTCAACTGATTTGTAAGCAAACGCTAGCTTTACTTGTTTACAAATTACATTCTTATACTTCCTTTCTCCTTTTAATTTGACAATGGTTTATGCAACTGACTTCCCAGGGAAATCAGATTAATAATTAGCACATACAGAATATTCTTTTGCCATAAATTTTAACATAAACTATTATAAGAAAATACAATATTTATCTTGTGAAAAAGGACTCACCTGTTCTTTCTAATAGGAAAGACAGGAAATGAAGAAAAACACCAGAGCAAATAAGAATATGGCTCAGTATCCTACAATACATATCCAGATGATGCAGTCATCTTTCAATTATTGAGACTTTTCACCAACAACACTATGTTATTTAATGGATCCACTTCATTCTAAGGATAACTTGCATCCACAAATGTAGACACCACCATCAAAAATAAGAACTAGGAAACCTTCTTTGTCTCTCAAACCATAATAAGTTACATCAACTGCTATACAAAGTTCATCTTTTCTAAACAAGCAGAAAATTATTGATGTCAATTATTGGCAGAAGAGCAGCCAGCACTTGTAAAATCTCTTCATCTATCTGGAAAATAAACTTTTCACATCCAGGTTTGCACAGAATACTTTCAGATAAACTTACATTGATTCAGACTGTTCATTGTTGTTTTATGTTGTGTGAATGTTTCTAAAAGACTGTTTTTTTTTCTATGACAAAAAGAACAGAAGACTTTACAACTCCCTTGACATTTGGCAGAACGTGTTTGCAGGCTTAGTTTAAAAGAAAATGGACTTTCCTTGACAATACTGTTCAGAGCATTCTGTCAAAAAGAGCATTCTCTGGAGAAATAACAGTGGAGAGAGGAATTCCACAAATTTGTAAGTATACATTGCATGTCACTTCAGCCCAAAAAGAACTGAAAATTTAGAGAAATATAGGTAAGTGGTCTTGCAGAGTAGAAACTTAGCTATGCTATCTTGACACATGCTTGCATTTCTCCCACTGGCTCTCTGTCAAACACTCATGAAGACAGCAATGCACAGTCTAGCTTTTATCTTAGAAAAGTTGAGGAACACCTTCTGCATTGCTTGAATATTACTGCTGCCTTAGAACTTTGTTTTATGTGGGAAAACATGACTGAACAACCAGGTGTTTTTTCATCTTCCTCTTCTAGATTTCTTCTTACTAGAAATAATTGCTTTTATTCATGTTTAAGCTCTTTTGAAATAATGTTTTCAACCTGACAGAGAGTATTATCTCCTCACTACCTTACCTAAATTTCTTAAGTCTTGATTACTTTGTATTATTTTATTTTGTATCTATGTATTTTTACTTTTTGGTCAGATCTGAAAATTGAACTTTCTGAACAGCTCATATTCAACTCTATAAATTCCACACTTTTGCATGAACGCACTGATGTTCTGACTGGGTTCCTTCTTGAATTAAGTAAAGGAACAAGAACTTTGCATAACTAAAAAATATGTAAAAATTTGCACTTAGCAATTGTTCATGTAGGAAATGTAGCACCCTTATTTAAAAATAAAATTGAAGTATAAGCTATACACAGAAATCGTAGCTTATTAAATTGTTCAGTAGTTTCTGAAGCCAGTGGCAAAACACTTAGCAAACCTAATAATGAATTACAATTATTTTGGGGTATTTTAATTAAAATATTCATAATCCATATTTAAGTTACCTAATTATTTTAAAACATATTATTCCATCATTTTTTTGTGAAATAAGTACCACAAAGATATGTTTTTGTAGTACTCTGCAACCAGAATCATCTCAAGGCAAGCAGAACACGTGAATCTTTTTTAAATCTATCTTTAAATATAAAATTAACTACTTGATGCACACTTAAAATTAAAACTACAAAATACACATTCAACTCCAAAAACCTAAGAAGCAGCTGCATGCAAATACTCATAAACAAGCTGAACTGGATGTCCTGTTCAACAGGGCACATACAGCATAGAATGCTATTCTACAATAAGATATTAAAAACCATAGAAATACATTAAATTATGTATAAAATACCTGAGTACCAACCTTATTTCAACCATATGTAAGACAGGAGGAGACAACTTACGGGTAAGCTTCTGCAAGCTGCTGAGCTATTTTATAAGCTGTGGGATCCCTGTCTAGTGCATACACAGTGATGTTGTTGGCTTTCTCCAGAAGAGCTGTTGTGTGACCGCCGGCTCCAAACGTCATATCAAGGAAGCACTGTTGAGTGAAAACACAAACAACTTTTACCTCACAGCAGTGATAAACTGATGGTTGATTTAAAACTTATTTTTATAATCCCCCTCATGTACTAGAGGAAAATATACCACTGCCTTTTTTGGAAATATTTTTTGCAGAATTGCAATTATGTCAGAATAATCTTTTACCAGCCCACTCCCCCCCTCAATAAAAAAAGCCAAACAAAAAACAAACACCCACAAACAAATAAAAACACCAAACTAAACAACACCAAAACAACAAAAAAAATCATTGTCTCATATTTGGGAAGGGTGACAGTGACATCAAACTTGATATTGAGATAAAGTGACTGGAAAAGGCTGCTGACTCCCAGCCACATCATGGAGGAGCATGTCTGGAGTAAAGTTTATCTGCAAAGACAGGAGACTAAGGAACTGAGCAGGTTCCAGTTGGTCCCAGCTTGAGTAAGAAAGGAACAAGAAAGGCAGCTGAGATGAGACTGTGGAAAGGTGAACACTGCTCTCCTGACAGCTCTGCAGTTTCTGTAGATCCATTCTAGAGAGGTTTCTGTATCAGCATCTGTATGACCAACAGGCTGACCAGGAGGCTTTGCTCCTGAGACCTTCCAAAGAAACAGTGACTTGGGACACACCCACCTTGGATCAGGACAGGTTGGGCTACAAAATTAGTAGAACTTCATGCTGTGTCAAGTCTTCTTTCACCTATAAAGGAGCAGTAGTGCTTCTAGGAGCTTGCCCTATGCCCCTTCTTCCTTTGGCCTAAGAACGTTGGTACTTGACTGACTAAAATTCAGCAACTATTTTTGTTGACAGAAATACCTGTCTCTTCACTTAGCAATGCAGTGCTTGTACAACTGCAATTCCACTTAGGAAATACTTTCTTTTCAAATTACTAACTATAATTCTACAGTCTAGGGAAAGCATACTGGAGCAGAGAAAGAAAAGGATTTTTATTGCTTTCTTTGACAATGTATCTAAACCAAAGTACAAAACATGAATTACTCTCTTGGAGTATTGCATCTTGGTATTCCATAGGTCTTTTCTCTCAGTTGATTGAACTGACCTCTGTTGACTGGGGGAAACTCAAACTAAACTCAAAAAAAAATTTCTCCATTTACTTCCATATTAATATCTGCATGGGGGCTTTTTCCCACTTCTCAGATTATCTTTTATGTGAAACAGGTTTTGAAGACTACTTATGAGGCTACAGTCATATTAAACAGAAATTAATACAAACTAAACTTATTCTCACAAATTATACATCTCAAGGGTAAGCACCTTTTAAGTGAAATTTTTCAGTTTAACTCTTTAAAGAACTAAGATTCAACCAGAAATTGCTTTGGATAAGAACAGAAATTCAAAAGCAATGAAGACCTGAACATTTTTCAAGAAACATTTTTTAGAAAACATGAAGACTTACGTATGAAAATCCCCTAAACAATAAAACAAACAAAAAAACCAAACACCCAAAGAAACAAAAAAATCACATTTAATAATACACAGACTAGTATTATAACTCTACTTGGGCTAAAAGTAAGAGCAAATATCTTTTAAGATCTTTAGGCTGCATTATTTAACACAATTTCTTTGTGCTATACTATCATGTTTCCTAAACTTATGCTCTAGAAGTGAAAGTTTCCTACAATATTTTACTAAGTTAATGAAGGAAACAGAATTTAGTTGGGTGATCACCCAATATTAAATTGCATAACTCATATGAAAAAATAAAGCACTGACACAGAATTTTTTTGTAAGCAGTATCTAGAAGACAAAATCATGGTACAAAGGTCACACCATCCATGGTATATAAAAGCTTCCACAATCTATTTAAGCATTCTGATTTATCTTCCACCCTAACAAAAACAAAAGTATACTCACTGAAACCAATTTATAAACACAAAACTGAAACAGTTAAAAAACGTGTTCGTTTCTTTTACACAACTGAACATAAGAATTTAGCTAGATTGTAAATATACCTGCATATGCTGAAAATTCCAACCATGTTCTCTCTAAGTTCTCACATGCCACTAAGATTCAGAAAAGCTCCCTTATGACAAAGATTCCAATCCATTTAGGTTTTCTTTGCATTGTACTGTTACTTCCACTACACCCATAAAAATCCATAAAAACAACTGGCTATTGAGTGTGATATTAAACTAATTAGCTACTTTTTTTATTATCTCTCTTCAATGAAAATTATTAATATAAAAATGTAATTTTGAACTCTGCATTTAGCTTAGAAACTTGCAAAAATGAACATGAATTCTAGAAAAGATACAAATCCTCCTAAATTACTTTTAAAATTTCCAGGGTATATCTGTTATGCTTTGATTTCCACTCAAGTTATTTCCATTTCATCTTTACCAGCAATAATGTACATAAGCAATAAACAGACCTCTAACTTTTATATTCTAGTTCTGTAGGCAAATCCATTTAGAAAAATCCCTTTAGAAATATGTGGAGGAGCAACAGAAAATTAAAACCACCTTTTTCTTTTTACTGCATAAGATTAACCCACTCAGAAATGCACTCAAAAAACTTAATCACAGGAGTCCCAAGTGTGATTTAGGATTGCACTTATTCTACAGCAACACATTACAGTCAAAACCAATCTAAATTACATCATAATTCCTCTTGGAAAAAAAAAAAAGTTTAATCAGCATGAGTCACGTCTTCATGGTTGGTTTTGGTTGTTTTGTTTTGTTTAAAAAACAAACAAATGCTCTTATTCTTTATCATAGCTAGAAAATTCGGATGAAAATTTTCAAAAACATCAGTACTCTCTTTCCTGAAACAGACTTATGATGCTGGCAGGAAGAATCATGGAAGGTACAGGAAGCATCAGAAGAGCTACTTCTATCCTTAAAATACTTTGGAAAAATAATTTTATTCCACTTAAACTCATTAATAACATGAATTTCCAGAAAATAATCTTTTCCCAATAATATGTTTAACTACTTGTTTATTTCTAGTATGCCTCTTTGTCTTCTAAACATCTAGACATCCAACATGTCTTCTCTGGTCATCTCCAGAAAGTACTGAACAGATTTGATCCTTATTTCACCAACACTTCTGTATTACAGAGAATGTCCTTCGTTTCATCACATTTGAACAGCAAAATAGGGAAAGATAAATTAGGTACCTTTTTGCCAAATCCAGATAATTTTGCTTTATTAAGCAAAACCTCAGTAACCCTGAGGTTTTTATTTCCAGATGAATTTTTGAAGATCTTATAGCTCATTCAAGAATACTTATGTTTTAACAGTTCCACCTTTCCTCATGGGTATCTCCTTCTGTTTTCATTCATTTTAAATTTGATAAAACTTTTAGCTTGACAAGCCCCTCATACATGCTGCTTATTAATACAGAAGATCTTGAAAATGAACCAAAAATAAATACTAGCAATGCAAAGCAGAGGAGATAAAGGATAGGGGTCATTGTACCATGACATTGTGACAAACTCTCAATATTGTGACAGCACTGAAAAGCAGCTTTAGTTCAGAATCCATGCAAGCAGCAACTGTGAATGAACACATGCTCACTGAATTCCACTGCCCTTTCTGAAAGAACCAACACAGACCAAACAAACTTTTAAGCAGTAGACATGATCTTTAATCTGAGAGCACTAGATACAGGAGGATACAGCTCTGATTCAATTCACATTTGATTCCTCATAATCTAGCTGCTCCACTCAAAAGCTACACCTTGCATCTAGAACCTAAAAAAAAAACTTATCACCTTAAGTTATCAAATGGAATGACTATGATATTAACATGACCATTTTGGAGCATTGATCAGATTTGAAATTAATCACTGTAATATATCACTGCTTTATAATACACTTCTTTATATATTCCATCCATCTTTCATGTCTGAAATAAAAGATGCTTCACTTTTTTCTTCCTCTTTCTCTCTTGCCTACTAGTTTTTAATCAAATAAAATTAAATGACATTTTATCCTCCCGGTCCTATAAATACTGGAAAAGATTATTACATTAATTCTCCTGCAGTGACTCACCATTCCATTGTTATGATAGTCACATCAGAGTCCACCTGGGAATTTTATAATCAGTTTGTGACTGTATGTTTTAGAAACCATTTGGCTCTTTCATGACATACAGATAGCAACAAACAAAAATTTCACAGCTTTCATTTTACAACTAGCTCTAGTACAGTTAGAGAGACACAAAGAGTTTGAGTTTATCACTTTAGTATGCAAGACTTTTTACTGAAAAGCTCTCATATAAATACCTTTTAAGCATTTCATTTTGTTATCACAGATCTATAATTCCACTATTGTTCCACATGTAATAAAGTTTACTTCACAACATTTAACAGTCTTTGTAATTGTTTTTCCTTTGCTGTGTAACAAAATGAGATTGCAGAACTTACACAACATTGAAACTCAAAAATGACACATAAATTCAAACTACATAATACTTATTTTAAAAAACTCACTATTCCAGTATTTTCCACTTTCCTCTTTCTTTTTTAAAGGCAGGAGCTTTATACCCTTTTTTAAGTAATCTGATCCTTTATATGCACAACTTTATTTTCCCCTACTAACCTTAATTATTTCAAGAACTCCATCAGATGATCTTTCAAAAAATGTTTTTTGTTCCTCTCACAACTCTCGTATTGTCTGAAAAAGGACTTCAACATATTGGACAACAGCTGCAAGGGACTTTGGCAAATTGTACAAAACTCACACTTACATAATAACGAAAGATCATTAATGTTATGATAAACTAGCACACAGAAGGCATTTTCCTGACTCTTTCCAACACATAAAATGTCTTCTAAAAACAGAAAGACTCATTATTCCCTGAAAAGTGGCCTTACACTGCATAATTATTTAATCAATCCCCAGTCCTATTTATCCATTTTTTCTGTTTACAAAAAAAAATTAAAAATCTAAATCACTGATAATGACCATCTTGCATGTTTTCAGCAAGTGTAATCACCTAAACCATCTTACCTCCAAGTTCTCTGGTTAAAAAT